AATCCGCAGAGAAAGTTCTCTGACAAATGCTACTTCAAAGGAGAGCCACCATTTCTTAAAACTTTTAAGGGCAGTGGTTTCCCTTTCAGTTGATTCATTCAGTAGCGAACTTTAGCTGATGGCAGAAAAAGGAGGCAAGGGGTGGTTTCCCTCTGAATCAGAAAGGGATCTCACTGGCGTGCTTAACTTGCTTTCTGGAAAGAAACAGAAAATTAAAAAACCCTTCCAAAAATGGATCAGAATGCAGTAGTACCCAAAATTTTTAGCGCTTATCGCAGTACGCACCCCACCACTCAGTTTTTCTTCTACATCACATTATTAGGACCTCCTCTTCAGCACATGTACCACTGGATCAGTGAATTCACGCTGATCCAATAAACAGAACTTAGGGATCAACACTCTGCAATGTAATTGTTCAGCCGTAACTGATTATCAGCCAAAATCCACTGCGCTTCCCCTTCCTTCACCGCTAACAGAATCCATGGCTCTCAGGAGCAGAACAGTCCAAAATTTTGTGTTGTCACTTGACTGCTTCAGAAACTGCGAGGAATATTTTATTTTTTTCCTTTTAAAGCTGTACTCCATAAACTGTACAACCCACAGCCTCAACAATAAATTTCACAAGCGTTTTTAGGCCCTACTGTTGAAAGTGCTTTCAAGCTTGGTTAGCTTTATGCATGTGAGTGCTCCTTATTTGTATCTCAAAAGAACTATTCCTACGCTTGAATTTACACATACGCACGTGCGTATGTATTTGAAGAATAAGCGCCTTAGTCTTGCAGGGTTATTTATTTTGAAGCAGCTATTCATGCCTCTTGCGGCCAACATCTTAGGTACTTGAGTTTCATTAACTCTTGAAAGCAGGGGTCCCCATTCTCAGGACAATGAAAACCAACCTTCAGCTTTACCATCCTCCAAAGGTCTGCCCACCCGCAGACATCCTTTCATATACACGTACAGTTGTGAGACGACATTCAGCTCCTGTTGAAAATAAGTCAGTTTTGCAATTCCAGGGCAAACCCTGGAGCCGGCGGCAGGGACCCCCCACTGTCCTTGGTGGGCGCCGGCAGAGGCAGTGCTTCCACGCCAAACCCAACTCCTCCAGTTCTGGGTGCAGGCTCCTACCCTCTCCCTTGCTTGTCTTCCCCTGCATGAAACCGTTTTAACATAATGGACGGGCAGAAGATAAACCTGGCCGACAGATCAGCACTTAGATGGGTTTAGCTGTTGTGGAACCACAGGCAAATAGTTACATTCATTTGTTCCTTCAGCTGTCTTCTAAAGAGGGTAAGGTCACAAAATGACACTATAGAAGGCACCACGAAAGGGTTCGATGAAAAAGTCTTGCTGCAGCCTTGGGGAAGTTTTTGCAGACTTCTTCCAATCCCTTCACTGAATGCCTTTTTCTTTGGAGTGACTTCTTCATCCTCCCCAGCTCCTCCAACCACTCCTGCAGTCTCTGGGCTAAAGCCACTGGGTAGATAAGTCACACCAAAGTGTTGCACCCACGGCATTCCCTGGCCCAAGAGGCTTGGCGCCAGCAGAGTTGTTCTCCTATAACAAGTCTCTTAGACATAAGAGCAGTTGACGTAACACATAACGGGTGTGTTACACCCTCAAAACACCGCATGATATAGTCACCTACAAGTAGACAGCATTGAAACCCTCAAGAGACTACAAGGGCAAGACGTAGCTGTTGACGACCCCGCTCTCCTGGAGACTAAGAAACTTTGTACTCACTGCCCGTCCTCAGACGTCGCCCGTGTCAGCTCGTAGTAACTGATAATACCCTCCATCCTCTTCTGCATAAGACCCTTTCACCTGCTCGCTGTGGTGATCTTTGTCAAACAAACCCTGCAGGAAGAGATGGAGCCAAGAACCCAGGCACAGCATTTTTCGGAACGCCTCTCAGAAGAGCGTTTTGCCTTTCTTGCTCAATTCTTCCATAGCCCTTTTCGGTTACTTCCTGCGAAATTAAATCCATCGCAGCAAGCTGTCGTACGACAGTCACAAACGCGCGCTTCCCAGCTTTCTGTAAGTCCCTGGGCTTTGCACACGCCTGTCTACACATGTAGATATACACACAGATGTATATAGCTAGAGGCACACCCATATACAGCCACGCGTATTGACGTGTACACGCAAACGCAGACCCGCTGCAATGACTTGTAGAAGACAACGGCAAACTGGTTTGCTTCTAAAGCTTGCAAGAAGCCTCACAAGGTACGGTGGAAAGTCCCTCCGAGGTAAGCCACACGTTCCATCACATAACAAAAAAAAAAAAACCAACCTAATTTGCCAAAGCCTTTGCGGAAAGCCTGATGTGATCTTTCGCTTAGGCCAAAGGTTCAGGACCTGTGATTTTTATTTCCAACACGTTCATTAATCTTTGTGACCGTGGATCAAGTACCTGGTTATCAGCCTCTAAATGAACCTTCAAAACCCTAGCAAAAGTAGCATTACACACTCATTTTCCTTCACTTCACAGGCCTTTTTTGCTAAGCCTTTGCATCTTTCAAGACTCTGAGGAACGTTCCAGTTGACTGGAAGAATGGGAAGGAGAACTTACACCCATGGAACACAGCCATACTCCCTTTCAGCAGGCTGTATCCCAGTATAAATACTCTACTTAAATAAAATTGCCGTAATTACAGTATATTTTTAAGGACTAACTGATATTTTACCCTATTCAGTTATCAGCTAGTGGATCATATGAAGCAAATATAAGCACTTTTTAATTACCTTTAAAATTGAAAAGCAATGAAAAAACAAAAGATGTCTAACTTCTGTGTTTCACTTTTCTTTTTTTAATACTAAGAAATGGAACTGACAATCATGATGATACCATAGTATCTTGAGCATATAAAGTTACTGAAGTAACTTTAATTTATGCTGCAGAGTGTCAGGTCAAACAGTGGTACGAGGCTTATACAAACCACCAACACCATGGTCGTACATCGCTCATCCAGAAGTGAATTTCTGGTTCAAATATAAGTATTGAACACGGGCAGCCAAGTTAAACCAAGTCCTGCTCTGCAGAAGAATCCAAACTGCTTTTTTCAGGTCACCCTCCGGCCCATATTGTGTCCCAAACATCAGAGAGAAAAGCAACGTAATAAAAACCTATAAAAGTCCCTTTTACTATAAAGCAGATTAAGTTATGATTACTTCTGGGATGACAAAGAATGAGTCTGGCTTGCCTCTTAAATCTACATTCAAACTGTTTCAAAGTTAATTAAGAGATGAGTAACTGTTTAGAAATCTCTAGAATAATAAAATATAACAACTTACAGCACAAAAGCAGCCCTTAAAGAAAAGAGCGGGGAGCATTTCACTTCACTGCAAGTAACAGTCGAGTATGTTTTATGATCAATGTAACAACCAGCAGGCCCTTGAGACTGCAATTCTGAATTTCTAATATAATTTGTAGGGGGAAATTAGGACAAAATGCAGTAGCATTTCAAGTACAGTCTCTCAGTATTTTAAAATTTTATGAAGTATAAGGACTAGGTTAATATGGAATGAGTCATGTTTTGAAGAGAAGCGATAATACAGACGTGTATTTTAAATCAAAACTAAAAACACGCTCAACTAATGCAAAATAAAAAGAAATCGGGAGTAGCTTTTTGCTGGAAAAAGGTCAACAAGAACAATGAAAATCCAGCAACACCGGGGAAAGCTGAGAGCACTGCTAGTTTCAGTTCTGTAAAGTTAAAATACCAAGCTACGTGACCAGGTAAAAACGATGCCTTCTCACTCAAGAAATCCATTCCCACCAGCTTGAAATTCACCCCAAATCGATCTAAACCTTCCACACACCAGCTCTGAGCCTGAACGTCGGGCTAGGAAATGGCATACGCACTTGGTGCGGGTCTTCTGATTTCGGAGCAGATAGACGCTGCGTCCCATCTCGCCCCACGACGGCTTCGAGAGCCAACCGAATCGCTTACTGCCTGTCCGAGCAACACAGGGACATCCCAGCAAGCTCTCTCCGAGTGTCATTTTGCTGACGGGGCACAGACGGGACAAGCGAGGCTACCATTTATTGCCATATTCTTTAGATCCATGCCTTCACGCGAACCAAAGGAACCCAGCTCAGCTCTCAGATCCCAATTGGAGTTTTCAAGGCTAGCGGTTAGCAACGCTACCCCTTCAACTCCTGAGCTGAGCACAATGATCTAGAGATGCTTAAAATACAAAACTCGGGCTGGCACTTGATGCATTTATTTCTTAAGGCTAAATGCCGCGATTTCCATGCTTGTAGGATGCCTCAACCGTGACAACACGAGACACCAGATCTGCTTATCGGATCAAAGCTGGAGCAGTAAGTTCCAGTCCTCCTCTCCAGGCCTAACCTCTGCCTTCTGCCTGCCCAACTATCAGAAAGCATCATGAAACCATAAAGACAGCCCGCAAATCCGAGCTTCCAAAAGTTGAGTAATATCCCAGAGATGGAATGAGAAGATCACATCAACCAAGCCCCTTTCTATAGGGCCTACGATTTTAACCTCACCAGTCTTATGCTGTCAAATGTGCTGAAGCAAAATACACCTGATGCTGCACAGATTTTAATTTTTTTTTTTTTAATAGAAGCTGTTAGTACTAAAACAAACTGCAGAGAGCACCCAAGTGTGGGCCACAGAGCGCTCGGCTCTGCTACAGCTTGCCCCGAACGGGCTTTTGGCCAAAAGAGGAAGCAAAACCAGTTACCAACAGGATGAGCTGTGTTACTGTCAGGTCACACTTCTCCCTTCAAAATTAACACGCTGCCCTACTTTCCGCGGGATAAAACCCAGATACAATTTTAACGTTGTTATCAAACAGAATAATGGTCTGGATGTTGCTTAAAAATAAATAAATAAAGAAAGAAAAAATTAAAACGATCCACTTGCGTGCTAAAAAGTGGCTGTTCTCAAAATACTACTTGCGATACAAGACGGCTTACGGTACATCTGCAGGAAGGAACCGCGCCGCCGCCAGTCAGTTAAAAAGGTACTTACCATTGGCAGTGCATTGATATGCAGAAGTTTTCCTTTCAGGTGCCTCTTGCCACAGAAGGGTGATGCTGATGAGGAAAAAAAAAAAAAAAAAAAAAAAAAAAAAAGATATAAATTTGGAAACATTAATTTTGATTGTTTTGTAAAAGATGGGCGTTTAACACGATAAAATATGACTGGCCTTCGCGGCTCTCGCAGCCCACCCTGCTGGGTGATCACCACTGAATTTGTGTACGGCCCCGAGCAGCGGGGCGAGCGCAGCGCCGGGGTTTTGCATATATCCTGTCGCTACCCACATCACACGAAGGGCTCCTGCGGGGAGCTGGGACGCGGGCCTTTGAACCAATAACCCTGCGGAATGAACCCAGGCCGTCCGCCCTCCGGAGAGTCGCACCCATTCATCGGGAGCGCCCAACGAGTAAAACACCCCGCGTAGAAAAATCCCCATGGCCGGATTTTGCCTTGGCTCTCCAGAAAAGGCTTCGGGAAGTGAACTAGGCAAAGCAGGCAGCTTACGGCATCTTCCGCCCGTGCCAAATTTCTTCTGGAAATCAACTCAGCTACCGACTTCTAAACACTCGGAAAAGCCCCACACGACAATCAAAACAGCGGTTTGACTTCCAAAATGGTTACATCCACTGAAAACCAGTCATAAATAAATAAATAAATAAATAAATCTGTTTTTCTAACACATGTTGCACTAAATAACTCCATTTACATACACAGGTGTGTCCATGCACCCAACTACCAACCCCTGCAGTGGCCTCAGTAATTAAAAAAAAAACAAACCCAGCTCGTACGAGTTGCTGGCAACATTTGACAACGTGTACGTAACAGAAATCCTCCCAGGGCAATATTGGAGAGAAATCTTGCCCTTCTTCAACAACCAAACAAAAATATAATCCAGAAAAATCCACGCTCTCCTACATTTTAGTAATTTCCTTTCCACACCAATAACACCCTCACATGTCTAACAATAAAATAGTTACGCGTGAGCAAACACGCTTTGATGTCCAGCTCTGCGTTAACTCCATCCACCGTAACATCCATTTTGATTCGTTAATGACAATTTTTATTCACGCTCATATTTCGGAGTGGTTGCTCTCCATACAAAAATACTCGCCAGACTGCTTTTCATGTTGGGAAATAATCTCATCGCCCACTCAAAGAGCAGCAAGGGGGACAGATGGACACGGGTGACTAATAAAGCATTACCCGACTATTTTTAGATTAAACTCTTTGCAAAGCATCTGTAAACGGTGTTCAAAACCTTCTACTATGAGTAAAGAGCAACTCCAGGTTTTGGGGCTCATGATCGACGCAAAGTTCTCGTGTGCCATTTTCAAGCTCAACCTGTAGGAAACGGTTTATTATTTTTTATTACATTTTTGGACCTAGCCTTTTTTAAAAAAAAAAAAAAAAAAAAAAAAAGAGCTGCAGCAGTCAGGCTCGTGTTATTTTTAGGGATCCCACCACACTACCAAGGCAGACCCAAACGTAACCTTCACCGCCCGGCCGGAACCTCCTCTCTCGAGCCAGAGGCGCTGCAGAGGATGCTGAAGAATGCGGGAATGCTGGGAATTGAAAGAATTTGCAAACATGCTCTTGTTCCCTTGCTTCCTTGTACTGGTGCCGCAGAAATTATGTAAATAGGCTGAGGAAAGCATCACTCCTCAAGTGGCACCGTTTCCTAGGCAGGAAGTTTGGGGTTTTCCATAGCCCAGCAGAGAAACACAAGGTTCCCCACCCCGCTCAGCAGACCCCCTGAACAAACACGACTTGCTTATGGTGAGAATCTTCCTTAAAAGCAGAGGACACCAACGAGCCGCCATCCGCACCCTTCTTCCAAGAGCAGACTGAACCCTTACCAACGCTGCGTGCGGAGGGAGGCAGAGGAGGGCTCTGCTGCCCTGTTCCGACCGCGATGCTTGGTTTGGGTTATTTCATTTGGGAAGGAACATGGCAAACATAAATAAAAGGATGATTGCACAAACATAAACCATTTTCTTCAATGAAAAAAAGGCTTTCTTCAGCATACACTGCCCAAACTGTCCCCTTCCAACACCCCTTTGCCCTTGTGCAATCTTCTGAGTGCTGTACTTATCGTCGAAGCCAGAGAGGGAAACCTTTCCGTCTGATCCGTGGAAGAGGCTTCTTGTCCTTCGCTTTATATCTAAACAGGGCAGTGACACGGAAAGAAGCTGGAAGCAAAGACTCAAGAGAGCAGAGAATGAGAAAAGAAAGGGTTCACTGACTCTGCTTCATTCCTCGCTCATGTTAATTGGTCGGAGGCTCCAGTTTTAAATAAGAGCGCTTGAAACAACACGTAAACATTTAGAAAACTCTGCCGTGTCCTCCTTCAGAATCAAGTACCAAGTACAAATGCCTCAGCAGCACTTCTTTTTTCCAAACTTGTCCTATTGGATTTTGCCTTTTTGGCACTTACCTTCAAACAATGCGGGTGATGGCTGTAATTTATTGATGTTAGACCATCTCCTGCCTTTATATACGGACCTGTTTCGGCGATTTAAACAGGTGACCAGGTGTAGTAACAGCTACACCACTGGACACTTCCAAAAAATCCATCAGGTGCCCTTGCAGGTGATAAAAGCACACCTGGGGGAGGCAGAGTAGCTTGTGAGTTTGCATCCTCCACCTTGGAGGGGCCACAGGGTCGACCACTGACCAACAACTAATGCTGTCAGCATCGGCTGGGTACTGCTCCCCTCGACGTAAAAAGAAATAAGGTTTTGCTGCGTGCGTACCGACCCGCTCCCAGCCAGCGCTCACTCTCCAGCTTTGCCCACATTGGGTTTTTCTGCACAAGAACAGCAGTCCCGGTGCCCGTGTCCCCCCATGACACCAGGTTTTTCTGCACAAGAATGGCACTCCCGGTGCCCGTGTCCCCCCGTGACACCGTACCCAAACGCTCGGTCCAACACCCAACATCATCTCCTCGGAAGGAGCATCCCACTGCGGCGCGCAGAGTGGCAGCAGCAACGCCCGAAGCCATAAAACTCTTGAGTCCCCGCTTGCACGTAGAGGTGGCAAAAAGGTCCAGGCAAAGAGGCTCTGCACGAGACAGGCGGTTCCCATCTGCGGGGCCAGAACTAACACACCAAATCAGCAAAGCAAATACGGACCCGTGCGGCTAGCACAGACCGGGCTGCCGTTATCAACCCCAGCAATAATCGCGTGGTACAAAGACGAAACCACAGACAAACCCAACCGTGGCACTGCGGCGTGGCAAACCCGGTTATAAACACATAGCGCAGATGTACACCAATGTTATTCCTTCCCTGTTTCCAAATATAATCAAGTTCAAACCAAGGATTCCTCTAGAAGCTATTTACAAAAACGTTTAACCACTTTCTTCTTAGAAACGCCATCATTTATGCTATTTTCTCCCACCCATCCATTACCCACGGAATTACGCTGGGTTCGTGCTACAGCTAAAACATTTTCGGCGTGAGCCTTGAATTGTTTTTGTTCCTCATGTGAACCTGTGCGCTCATCTTCACAGAATCCCAGCATAGCCGGGGCTGGCAGGGCCCTCGGGAGCTCACCCAGAGCAGGGGGCACAGGACAGCGTCCAGGCGGGGGTTGAAGATCTCCAGAGAAGGAGACTCCACAGCCCCCCTGGCCAGCCTGGGCCAGGGCTCGGGCACCCTCACAGTCAACAAGTTCTTCCTCCCGTTCAACTGGAACCTCTTCTGCTTCAGGTTGTGCCCATTGCCCCTTGTCCTGGCGCTGGGCACCACTGGGAGGAGTCTGGCTCCGTCCTCGTGACCCCCACCCTTGAGATAGTTGTAGGTGGTGATGAGATCCCCTCTCAGCCTTCTCTCTCCAGGCTGAACAAGCCCAGCTCCCTCAGCCTTTCCTCCTAGGGGAGATGCTCCAGTCCCCCCATCATCCTTGTTGCTCTCCTCTGGACTCTCTCCAGGAGTTGTTCTTCTTCTAATCCTCTTAGCATCACACTGTTTATACTACTTTCTGAAATTTTGGTGCTGTTTGAGCCTTAATACCACATTTAGTCATTAGATGCCATGCTTTGTGAATTACAAAAGCCTTCTAAGGACACGGTAGCTTTTCTTCTAAATTATCCCCCAGTATCCTGCTTTTATCTGGATTCAGTATCTGGAAAGAGGGTCCCAATCAGAACAGAATTAAAAATAACTAAATCCTGGATATTGCCCTCAGTAACTAGGCTGCAAAAAGCATCAGACAATAGTTTTAAAAGCCTAAATTGAAAACTAATCGCTCCATTGAATCCTTCCTTTCATTTGGTTAATAGGCATACACAAAACTAGCAGTGATTCTACCACTGCCGCGCTTGGAACATAAACAGAGAAAATCAAAGTTATTTCTTTTAATCACAGTTCCACGGCAATGTAGGGCAATTTTTTTTTTAAAAAAACAATTCAGCACTTCTACAATAACATCTGCTTTTCAGATGTAACGGAGAAGCTGAACTGAGATAAATACCAATGCAAGAAATTCAAGAGAAACAAATATGGGGTGGGGTGGGGGGAATTAAAAAAAAAAAAAAAGAAAAAAAAAATCAGGACCACACACAAGACAGCATTAAAAACTGTCATTACCTGCAACTGGTTGGTAGCACCAGGGTTCCTAACGACAAAATAAAGACTGACAAACCACACTGATGCTCCTCTGGAGGAGCAGAGCACCGGAGCGTGCCCGGATGGAGGAGGCTTCACAAGAAACCTCAACAGGGAACGCTCAAAGTGACAGAGATTCGCCCAGAGACATCCCCACCTGGATTCCTAAACTCTACCTGGAATGGCTTTTCTCTGTCAATCCAGAAATCTTTATTTCCCAATCTTTGTTCTATCTCTAGGCCTTTATTATGTCAGAAACATGGAAAAACCTGATGCAAGCTCACTTTCTAGATGTTTCGATGAAGAAACACTTAACATACACTTTCACATCACGTAACAGTTGTGCAGCTGCCCACACGTCGGAAATACTCTTCCATATACCAAGCACCCGGATGCCTACAGACACATGAGAACCAACTGGTAAAACAAAACAAGATATCCGAGTGGATCA